AGCCATGTGGTGGAAAAATCAATACAACTTTTTTGTATGACACTTCATTAGTGTGAAAAATTTTAAAAGCTGAGAAGAACTGCCTTGCAATTAAATGCTTCTGCTACTTCAGCTCCAGTAATGGGTTTGTATTATTATCTAGTTTATTTGAAATAGTGGTTGCACTATAGAAGTAATTGGAAAACATTGATTATGCACTTGTATCTGGAAAGCCTGGCAAATCATTACAGGGCCCGGCAACAGTTAGTTAGCCTTACTAATGAAGCACTAATTGCTCTAAGTAGGTTAACATGTTAGTGAAACTATAGGGAGATAATAGTTTAGAAAATTCTGAGATATTTTGCCAAACATGTATTTCCATTTAATATTCCAAAGATAGAAATCATGTGGATTTTTTTCCTTTTTGTTTTTGTTTTTGATGCTCTGTTGAGGGGCAGGGAGTAGCCTTAATGAAGTTCCCACATTGCTTAGCTTGAAATGACTCCATCTTCTTCCAGGTTCTTTGCCTATTAACCCAGCCTGATTAGCAAACAGAACTACGCCATGATCAGCATAGCCATCTCAAGTAAGCTATGGGGTCCCTCAGTTGAGAAACTTCTGATATTTCTATCTTGGGTCAGTCTCTCCAATCAAGGCCTTGGTGATTTAATTAGGCAAAATGTTTGTGCTGTTGAATCATGATCCAGTTGTCCTAGGTCCAGAAAAGAAAATTTAAATACTGCTTTTTTTAACTTCAAATTAATTTGCTTAGTGGGACTTTAATGATAGGAAGGGGGAGTAGAAAAATCTCCCAATGCTATCCATGAGATTTTTAAGAGGAAAAGAAAATCAGTGTTAGAGAAATTCTTGCATATGTGCACCAGGAGATAAAAGACAAGAATGTTCAAAGCACTTGTGTCTGTAAGAATAGCAAACTAACAGATTCTAGAAACCACTCAGTGCCCACTGACAGGGTAACAGTGAAATAATTGCATTCACACAATGGAGTAGTATGCAGTAGGTAAAAATGAATAACACAAAAATAAAGGCACACACATTATGAATGAATCTTAGAGATATAGTGTTTAATGAGAAAAGTAAGTTTCCAAAATCCACATATGATATGATTACATTTTATAAAACCCCCAAATAAAACTAAACAATTTTAATAATATGTACACATAGAGCAAAATTACTTTTTAAAAATGTATGTAATGATGTAAATAGAAAGTTCAAGATGGAAATTAGTTCAGAAGGTAGAGTGGAGCACATTGGAGGGGTTGTAGCTTTAAATTGGGTAGAAATTCATGCTGTTATTTTAATATTATGCTTTGTAACTCTAATGTTACAGATAAGCTTTTTTTTTTAGGGGGTGGGGATACCAGGGATTAAACTCAGGGGCACTCAACTACTGAGCCACATACCCAGCCCTATTTTGTATTTCATTTAGAGACAGAGTCTCACTGAGTTGCTTAGTGCCTCACTTTTGCTTGAGGATGACTTTGAACTCGCAATCCTCCTGCCTCAGCCTCCTAAACTGCTGCGATTACAGGCATGTGCCAGCATTACTGGCATAGATACTCTTTTATACATAATAATAAAAATGTTTTAAAGAATTGTCATCTTCTTCCCCCTTAAAAAATTACATCATGTCAAGTCCAAGAATCAAGTCTATCACTTTAGTTGTTCTAACGAAATCAGAGAGAAAATCTTTCTACTTTTAAATTGTGGTATTTTGAGGGGGGGAGCTCATTATTGACAATACCAATGTGAACAACTCAAAGAGAAAAAAAAATGATTAAAAAAGTATGTTTATTGAGATATAACAATTCACTTTTATATGTTTATACTTTATTCCATAAAGATGGGAGATATTTATCTTTGCAATGTTTGAGTAGTTCTCTCTCTCAATGGGTGGGGAGTACTTCAGGGTTTATTGCTGGGAGCCATTAGCCAAGTAGGTATGACAATTTCCTTGCCAGCGTACCCCATGTTGCTTAGTGGAAGGACTCGTGGAAATAGGACATTTTGCAGTGACATTGCAGTTAGGTGACCTTGCTCAAGGACCAGGGCGGATCCGGGATTAGGGTGTTACCGGTTTAGGATAATCGGGTTTAGGGCATTCCAGGTTTAAGATTATTCCTGCTGGGAATAGGGCGTATCCTGCTGCCTGAGTTCCCCTTGAGTTCTCATGGGATTCAGACAGTATTTTTGTGGGAGAGAGAAGCCCAGTGGTGGTGGATTTGGGCAGAGAAAGTGGATTTCCCCAGAACGTGTTTGTAGACGGCTGGTGTGAGTTCGGGAATAAAGAGTTGCTGTTTGAATCTACAAGCTGTGTGGTGGCTCGTGATTGTGTGCCCAGCCAGACTGCGGCAGTTTATGTCTGAGAAACAGAGTTATCTTTGGGGGCAATTATGGAAACAACAGTAGTGTACGAGTTGGAGAGAGCACTGTTCCTGCCACTCTTACAAATGTGTGTGTGTGTGTGTGTGTGTGTATTTTTATATATCCCCCAATATAAAAGGCAATTGAATGGCATAATCACTGTAAGATGTCCAACAAAGTTTGGGCGTCAGAGGGAGGGGGAGGCTAATTTTCTGCCTTGCTTTCCTTACCTGGCCACTTCTACTTTCCTGTACCAATAGCGTGTAGCATAAAGTAAGTGTCCAGTACATCTTTTCAAGTCAAGTTTTTTTGTGGAACCAGTTAGATATATTAAAGTAAATAATTTATTTGAACACCAAAAGTGAAAATTCACAACTAAAACAACAGTGACTCACAGAAGAGAAATTTAGTTTCTTAAATCTCTGCCATAAGTGAGAAAAACACTCCTTTGAAGCAAACCAGGGACTAGCGATGCTCTTGAATTTTTTTTTTCTCCCCTAACATGTGGGTTGAAGTTAGTATTTTGAGAAATGCAGCTCATGAAAAAAAAATGTCCACAAAAATGTAAGAGGGTCTGAGGTTCAAAATATTTCCTTGATCTGTTTTTATGTTTAAAGCCAAAGAATTCTTATCGTTTAGAGCTTCCTACTGAAGTGTTTGCACTATGCTAAGTTAAATGATGCCTAAATTTGCTTCAAAACAGCATGGGCAGGGAGCAGGAATATAGAAGAACCACACTGGCTCTAAGTATGAAATGACATTCGTTGAAGATAGAAGATGAGTATATGTGGGGGTTGTCACATTATTTGATCTCTTATCTATTTAATTTCTTTCTGTAATAAAAATTAAAATCTGTAGGTGCAGATTTATTAAACTCTCATTTGAAAATATTTCGTTCAGTTGTCCTAGTCGATCATTCATTCTGTCTCCTTGGGTTGGAAAAAAATATATTGGATTTTCATTCTGGCCACTGATTCCTCTGGGGTGGGGGGGGGGGAACTCATCTGTTTATTTTCAAATGACATTGGGTGGTAGCAAACAGGTGCCATTCAGAGATGCCACTAGAAACAGAAGTGTCAGCCTTCCATAGGAGTTTGTGTTTCTCTTCATGTTGATGGGATTTTCCCCCCTTGGAGTTATTGCAAGGATCTGGCTGGAGTGGGAGGTTGCAAAGAGAGGGGATTATTGTTTAAATGGGACCCTGTTTCTAGCCTTAAGTCAGAGGAGAGCCATTCTGGTTGCATTCAACATTTCAAAGAGAAGTAACAATGCTCTCAGAGCGCTGCTCTCTACAAAGCAGCTCATTATTGTAAATGTGGGGCATGTTTAGACTGCTAAGGAGAATCATAAAAGTACAGCCTCTGCCGCAAGCTCCTTTGGCAGTAAACATTGTCCTCAGGCCAGATATACTTCCAGGCAGCCCCAGCACCCACAGCCTGAGTAGAAAGCTCACCCGATGATGCCGGGGAGGAGGAAAGTGGAGTTAGGAAAGTATAAATGTGCATGGTGAACATTATCTGCAAGGTCTTTTATGTTAAGGAAATCATGACACCTGCCAATCTTTCAAATTCCAAAGGGTAAAGCATGAGGCCTAGTAGGCTGTCATTGAACATGACAAGCTTAATGCCAAGTTTATAACAGAAAAAGGGCAATCTTATTGTGGTTTATTCAGTTTTATGTTGCTGGTTCGGTAGGAAGGCTCTCCCTCTTTCTCTCTCTCCGGGTCTCTCTCTCTCTCTCTCTCTCTCTTTTAAATCTAATTTATAACATTTGAAAGACCGAACGGATTCTTTACATATCTCCTGAGCCCCCACTCCTCTGCACTACCCCCCATCTCTCCTTTAGGGAGCAACCCCTAAATCCTTCCAATTTAGCATCTTGGTGAAGCCAGACAATAGTTGGAGTTGAGCATTTCCTTCCGTCGTTATAGAGCTGTTTCTAACTCCAAACATTTCTGTTTAATTACTGCTCAGACTGTTGCGCTATTTCCATCCAACCTGCCCCGCGCTTGAGCCCATTGGGCTGAAGAAAGAATTACTCCCTGCGCTGTTCCTTAGCCCTTCTTGTTCAGATCTGTAATTGGCCCTGTGTTTTTGACTTTTTGCTAATAAGCAGCTTACTTTCTCTCCCCCTAGACTCAACCCACCACTTTTGTTTCATGAATTTTACAAAGGATTTTAATAGATGCTTTAGGCTATGCAAAATGTTATATGAAGGGGAGCCGCTAATGCAGCAGCCTTGACACAAAGGACGTGTGAATGGCTGCTTATCATTACAGTCAGGTCTCAAAATTTTCATTAGGAGTTCTGGAGGACAAAAGAAGAAAAAAAAAGTGCAGCTATATGAAAGAATATTAACCTATACTGTGTAACCAACTATAATTGCTTAGCATTTTACATTAACTCTCTTCAGACACGGCCTCTCATTATTTTTACACATACATAATAACTGCTTATTACAGCGGTATAGTTCATGCCGATACATGGTGGATAGGGCTGTGTCAGCACTTCCAATATAAGACCCACTTTCATGGGTTTAAAACAGCTGTAAAACTTACCTCCAGACCAAAGATTGGTAATCAACCTTCCTCCTGGAGAGGGAATTTTGTTTAAAGTTAAAGCAAAAAAATATCCCTAAAAATACCACTTTCATTAAGAAAAGAAACTTTGCTTGTTGGAAATTATGAAAGTAACAAAGTGAATGAGCATGCTAAAGACACTTTTGAATTTCTAAATATGGAGATTTATGGAAACTCACTCTAAAATGTGCTTTCAATGATAAATTAATTTTAAACAGTACTGAAATGAAATAACGCACCCACAGTGCGCTTTATTGAAAGTATTTACATTTCCAGAGCTTCTACTTTATGCAGTGGTGCTAGGAACACTGTGTGTATTTTCAAGACGTTTAGTCCATGGTTTTCTCTGGAAAATAAAATATCAGTTTTTTGTGTCCGTAAAAAGTCCTATACTTGTATATGACAACATATGGACTTTCAGAATTATTTTGGCATTCTGTTTTCTGAAAGTTTCTGAGCAACTAGTTTTGGCTCAGGGAAGGAAAGTAGGAATTCGGCAAAATATTTGAAGTCCTTAGATTGGGAACTTGGGAAGATAAGTTGGTAGATTTCTCAGACGAACAAATGAGTCAATTTGTGAAGGTTTAGGCTTCTGGTAGTAGTAATTCCAAGGAAGATGTTACTAATTTTCACTGACTTTGTAAAATTCTCCAAAGTTTTCTCAATGGCCAAAATATAAAAGTATCCTGAAATCAAGCTCAAATAGTTACATGAGTTTCATCAGTATTATACACACAATGTTTCCAATTCAAGGCTCCTGAGTTAGAAGCATTTATTTCTAAAAGATATAGAAGCTGCAAGATAGCATATCATTTTTTGAAGTTATAGAGAAATGCTTCTTCTATGGGTGTAAGAGAACTTACAAGGAAATTTTCTCTTATGTTGAAAAAGCCTTAGAAAAAATATCTTGAAACTGATTTCAATGGGTTTTATAGCAAAAAATCGGAACTATATCCTTAAAGGTAATATGTTTATGAACAATAGATCAAATATATCAAACATGAATGGGATAAAGTAGAGTGCATGCCTTTAATTCCCATTAAGCTTCTGGTCTTTCCATCTGCTCCTGTCACACTTTAGCTCAAATGACAAAGCCATCTTAGCTGTATTTCCCAGAGTTAGCTGATTCCTTGACATAGCCCAAGGGGTGCTAAAAAAGAAAAAGAGGTATCCATTTAAAAGTGCAAGCCCATTTAGAATAATTTCAGATTCAATAAAGCAACTTATTCTACTATTATGACTTGAGGTGACGGTATGCAGAAGGAGGAAACATGGACTTGAAGAGGTTCTTGGCACAAAGGTATTAATGTTTCCTGGTATTGGTACAGTAAGGAGGTAGCAAGTCTGTCCCTAAACTGTTGGAGTGAAGGGTTCCTGGCTGGCATTTGTGCAATGACTCTTCAGCAATAGAAAAAGCTGCAACTTGTTAGTACAGTTACAGTAAACAGTGCTGGCCTCACATAGCTAATTAGCTGTGGCCCAGGCTCGCCTGTGCTATGTGGTGACACTCTAATCAGAGATGATTGTCATCGGATATCACAGATGTCTTTCTCTCTCGCTGCTCAGCCCAGGCAGGAGCTGGCTAGCTCAGAGCAGGCAGCGCTCGGAGCTGTTCAGAGACACCAGGTCTCTGGGTGCCTCAGCTGCAGACTGCAGGCAGCTCGTCACTCTGCCTGCTGAGAGAAAGGAAGCAGGGTTAGGCAAGGGGGGGATCCTACCTGTCAGGTGTTCCTGGAGGCAGTGATGCAATCAGTTTGAAAGCAGAGGTTTCAGAACAAAAAACCTGTAACTGAAGCTACTCAGGACTTTTTCAAGCCACCTGGGATTCTTGGAGATGACAAATGCTAATTCTTTCAATTCATTACATATTTTTGAACCGAGTGTCTGAGAGGGCTAAAGGAGCAGGCTTCAAGATTTACAAGCCACAATCAAGGATGTGGTAAGGAAAATAAAGCAGCATGCCAAGAGGTGTGACTTGAGCCCTAAAGTGGGAACCTGATAACCCTATAATCCTCCACCTCTCACTCACAGCTAGTCCTCTCACTCCACCCCATAAACTTAGAAACTTTCTCCTCCATTCTCTAACCCTCCTCCTATCATCCTGTTATCCCACAGGAGTGACTGAACTCCTGCCACTGGGGTTGCTGGTAATCCTCTCTTCTGAAGGGCCCTCAGCTTACTTGACTTCTCTCAGAAGTAACAATTGCCACCCTTGCGTTTTGCCACCATGTTCAAATACCCACCCCCTTCACTCTCCCAGGACCCACTCTGCTTCCCCAGTTGCCTCTTGGGCTCTTTGTTCTTGTGCTGGAATTTCAGGGGCTCCATCTCCTTATCTAGAACCTTTCTCAGCTGCCATCTCCTGTACAGCCTCATCCCCCTATGACTCTACCCATTGAGCCACTCTGGACATCCGACTCTTCTTCAGGCCTCACCTGGGCTCCACATTTTTACTGAACATTTTCACTAAATATCTCATCTCCTATTTGACTTGCCTCAAACTATATACCCATCTGTCCCGTTTCCCAGCCCTTCTTTCCCTTTAGGAGCTTCTTCTAAGTCAGGTCCCACTTTGTTCTTGCCAACTCATTGATGACTCCATGTTCCACTTGGGTCACTTGAGTTGGAAACCGGAAACCACCCTGGAGCCCAGCTCTCCTTAGGTGCCAAAGCCACACTGTCAGGAAACCTGTTGTGTCCTCCTCCTTACCTCTCCATGCCATTCCCTCTCTTTCTCTGTCTTACTCAAGCCTTTGTTATATCTACCTTTTGGGCTAATTCCTGATTCAAGAATATCCCTCATCCTTCAGAGTGACCTTTCTAGAATGCAAAGCTGATCCTGTTATTCTCTTTCTTGAAATATTCCACAGATCCATAAATTTTGAGGAAAGCTTAGAGTACAAGGCTCTCTTGAGTGGACCCCAGCCCATTTCTGGACCTGCCTGTGACCATCCCTTACATCCCTGTGGACTGTGGTTTTCCCACTGCCCCTGCTATAGTCACACCTGAGTCTTTGCATATGCATTAAATGTTCTGCCAAACTCAGCTCAAAGTTCTTCTTTTCTCAGACACCTTTCCTGACATTTCTAACAGAAGAAGATGCTGCTTCCCAGCATCTCATTTTTATATTTGTGTTGTAGATCTAATTACACCCCTATGAATGTTAACATATCTGTCTACTCCACTTGGCTGGGAATCCTGGAGAGCACATCATGTTCATCTTGCAGCTCTTCACCTGGACTTGCCTGAAACAGAGTAGACCCTTAAATATTTATTACATGAATGAATGAATAAATGCCAGGATGGATGAATGGATGGATGAGTGAGAATATACCATCACATAGGGAAAGGTAGGAAGAAGACTAACATCTTTTCACAAACTCAGAGCTTAGGTCTGAATTTGAGAAGGGTGCAAGCAGAAGGAAGAGTAATAACAATAACTACTATTCATTAGGCACATACTTTGTACCAGGCACCATGCCAAATTTATAAATTATCCCATTTAAACCTTATGATTTTAATTGTCTTATTGATGAGAAAATTGAGGCTCAAGAATTAGTATATGAACCCAAGAATACTTGCTGTATTTCAAAGTCACCCTGCCTGTACCATCCACAGGAATGGTTTCAGAGGTTTTGCATTTTGCAATTTAGGCCAAGGTAGACTTGAAAAGGGGGTAGGAAGAACATCCTTATTACTTTATGGTTAAAAATAAGATAGGTGTTTTTATTTTAAGACAACCAGTCTATTTCCTTAGCTAATTATGGTGTAAAGCTATAGGGGGAGGTTTTTACCTCTCCCCTTTCTCAGAACTAGGGCCACAGAATCCCTTACCTATGACGGTCTCCTTGCAAAATGCAGGCCTTCATTCAAAGTGGAGCTCAGGAAAGAGTCAATTTTGAAAAAGCATTTCTATTGCTGATGCAGAATGGAATCCTTGCCCAGGAAGTCCAGCAAAACTGTGGTCAGATCACTTGGTTTGCAAATAAACATTTTCACAACCCACTTATTATTTGTTAGATGTGATGCTTTCACCAAATTAGTTGAATAATTGAACCTCTGGTTATTGTGGTACTGAGTAGACAGCCTCAGCGGCGCACAGAATAAAGAATGTGTGTTCGAGCAAGGGAGAGCGTGGGGGAGCTGGTTGAATTTAAAACCTTTAAATGCTTGTAAATAATATTGAAGGGCTGTTTTCCAACATTTAATTGGGTGGAATATAAGAGTCTTTTTATTTAAAAAAGATTTTTTTTTGGAATGGGGAGGAAATTCAGGAAAAAATATGTCTTTGGCTTTGGCACTGAAAACATAAAGTTCTTGTATCTCCTCTCTGGCCCCCCACCTTTTCCAGTATGTTCACAACATATTTTTCTGTCTCTGGTTTGACCTTTATTTTGTCAAGTTTCTGGAATTATAAGGAATTCATAACTACCCAGAAATTGAGATAGATACTGACTCCTTTTAATTTAAACTATTTTGTTGGGCTTATAGAAAAACAACAAAGATCTTAAAAAGCCACACATTCTTATAGGCATAATGAGGACCAGGGAAGACCACTAAAGGCTCCTAACCTGACTGTGAGTTCATAAGTTTAATCAAAATGTAATCTTTTATTTTTATTGTGGGGCATTTTTTTTTCAGCTATGTAGTTATGTGCTAAGCCAAAGCAAAGCATGTATGGCCAAGAAAACAGGAATAAGTAAAATAGGGTAAATAATCAAGTGATTATCTCAAATTATATATAACCATATAGAGTCCTACTGATGATCACAATTTGTATTTGTGACATTTTCCACTTTGTAATGTGTGTGTGCATGTATACATACACACACACATATATGTATGTGTATGTGTGCATGTGTATCCAGTCACATTTGGACTGTAGACCAAACCTATGAAGTTAGTAGATAAATATCATTATCTCCAATTTAGAGACATGATAACTGTAGTTCAGCGAGATAGATGCAATGACTTTCCCAGGATGCAAGTACATTTCTGAAAGCCTGGTGCTTTCTCTCCCCTGTAGCAACACAGCACTAAACATGCATGTGCCTGTGTGGGCTGAAGGCCGTGCTCAGAATGCAGACTCAAGTTTAATTCCGTAGCAGGTTAGAATAGTAAGCAAATTTAAGATTGTGCAAAAGTTGCATTTCTGGTCCCAAAGCCTGGTTTAATAAAAGCAAATCAGCCTTGACTATTAGCTAAGTAAATGAAAGTGTTAATTAAGCTCAGCTCCCTTGTCAGAAATAAAAGCTTGTAAATTTCAAACATACCTGAGGAATGTGAGCAGGCAACTGTGAATTTGTGTACAGGGTGTCATTACGTTCATTTGTTTGCCTGGTGTCCAGTCTGGGGACTGCCAGATAGTGAACCTTTAATAAATCGGAAAAGGAGGAAAGGAGGAAAAGGGAGAGGAGGGAGTACAAGGGTGAATGAAAACCAGGGAGAGGGAGAGCCAGAAGGAGGGAGTGAACTTCATTCACTAATTGGCTGTGTTGAAGGTGAATGTTAACTAAGGCATGGTTTGGACAGTTGCCAATTTGTTCTTCCTGCCTGGGCTGTTAGCTGACTGCCTTCCATTAGGTATGAATGTATGTCCACAAACATTCAACAGTTCTGCATATACACCTACCAGCACACAAGTGTGCACACACACAGGCCCATGCACACACTCTCAAAACCGAGTCTCCCATTTAACACAAAGGGCCAGAGAAAAGGTATGATCAAAAGGAGGAAGAAATCCCATAGATGAGAAAGAGGCAAAGGAAAACATTTCTGGTGAGACTTACATATCCTTAAATAATTAGGACACTGAAACTGAAATCACATGCATATACACCTGCACACGGTTTCCATAAACTTGGAAAGTGTGGGGAGGTAGCCCTATTGCTGAAATGAAGTTAAACATATTCACTAAAATATAAAAGCTGCTCAAAGTAAGGGGCTTTCTAAAAACTTAGAACTTCTGATGATGCTAGCCAAATTATGATTTGTTTCCAACAGAGAGATCCACCTTAAGACAGGTCCAGAGAGCTCAATAGAAACCAAATAGAGTAAGAGGAAGTTGGGAGTGTGGGTGTCAGGCTGTCAGTAATCTGACAGCTATGGTAACTACCCTCTAATCCAGCCAGCTCCAGCCACGCTCTCGCTGACACCACCAGGACTGACTGACAGCTGAGGAGCAGGCACTTTTTACAGGCTCAAGTGACATCCAGTCTATTAAGGCTGACAAGCACAAAGCAGAGATTTGCCCTGAATGGTTTGGTACTGAAGCCTAGTAAAGGGGTTATTTGAAAGGTCTTAGAGAAAGTGTCAGACTCCAGCTCAGATGATAACAATATTGTAATGATGGTACTGGACAATGAAGTGTGATGATTGCCCATCCGGGCCAGGAAGACTGTAGGAGAATGGGGAGTGCTGAGAATGAGCACACAGAAGCCCATCCTCCAAGGCCAGCATGCAACCGTTCAAGAAATTTCTTTGGTGGTGTGTTTGCCTGCACCTTGGGGAGCTTCCCATAGTTGCATATTAACTGTATTATTTGTATGGGGACTGGAGGTGGCAGTGAGCAGAGCGGAGGACTAAGTATAAAGTAGGTGACACCTGAAAGGAACATTTACCTACCTTTGGTTCACTCTTCAGTTCATCAGAAGGCATTGGGAATATTTTCTAGAAAAAAATGAATTGCAATTTTTAGAATTGCCTTGCTTAGAACTCTGGCTGAAAAGTAAAATAGTGACTCCAAAAGATATGACCGTGACTGTCATTGTTGCTATTATTGAAAGCATTGGTTCTCACAGGGTGCCAGGTACTGTGTCAACAATATGTATGTGGGTTTTTGTTTTGTTTTGTTTTGTTTTTTATTTTGGTGGGAATGAGAATTGAACAAAGGACCTTGCACATTCTAGGCAAGCAAGCTGCATCCCCAGCCCCTTTTTAAATTTTATTTTATTTTGAGACATGGCCTCAAATTTGTGATCCTCCTGCCTCAGCCTCCTGTGTAGCTGAGAGTACAGATATGTGTCACCATACCCTGCCCTGTCTTCTCATGGTTCTCTCTATGAAATTAAAAGAAGGGCAAGTATCATAATGCTGTTTTACTGATATGCACTCCCATTTGGGTTAGGCATGTCCTTATGTGTATATTTATTCATTGCCCATTTATTTATTTAGTTCATACATATAATGTGTTTAATATAAGACTGAAACTTTGGTAGATCCTAAGAAGACCTCAGTGAGCAAAGGAGTGTACTCCCCATCCGCACAGTGATTAGACTCCAGGGCTGAAGGCTGATGCTCAGCTGCTAGCACACCAGCTGTTAATACACTGACATAACTTCCATTTTGGCAAACAGCCACTGCTTTGAGCACCAAGTGCATCCCTACCTCTCCCCCACATCTGCTTCTCTGGCCTCTCCACCCCCATGACTCCTCGAAACTCCCCATGATCCAGCAACCAAAGAATGGCTGCCTGGCATGGCAGATCCCTCTTCTAGCCTTATGTCCAACATTCATTCTGAATGGTCTTTTTAATTTTCATATCTACTAGTTGAGAAAATATTTAAACCCTACGGCTAGTGAAGCTCATAATTTTAAAATTTACCCCCAAAATTACAAACATTTTTTTTTCAGAGATCCGAGTTTACTCTTACAAAATTCTAAAAGTTTTCCCACATGGAATTTCCTTGGGAGTCATGTCCATATGGAGAATTTAAGTTTGAATGTGCATAGATAATAAGAAGACAGACGCACTAAGGAGTTTAGATTCCCAAAGAAAGCAGAGTTATTCTCACTATGAGAAGTTGGGGGCTGTGGAGATAATGCCCAGTCATAAAAGAAAGATCAACAAGGAAGATAAGAGGAAAAAGATAGGCAGATGGGACCCGGGTCAACCCTCCTTTATAAATGTACCTGTATGGCCTTAATATTGCTGTGGAACAGAAATCTTGCACCCTACAGTATCAGATCATGTTCTAGAATTCAAGAACTAGAGAACCAAATGCAGGTAATAGAGAAGAATACCCTAGACAGGAGAAGGTAAGGGCAAAAGGGAGAGGGAGGAAGAGACTCAAACTCAGATAACAAAACACATGAAGATTAGTAAACCAATTGAGAAAGAGAACATCAAAATTTCCCATCAACTCAATGGCAGCCTTAGAAATCGATAGCCCATAATCACAGTGAAAATCATCAGCTAGCAGCCACTGGAGTCAGAGCTTCTTGTCCCATCCCACAGTCTTGTCATTGTTTGAACTTCTCAGAGGTTTCCTGGAAAATGGTACTTGCAAGATTGTCTTTATTTTTTTTTATTGGTTGTTCAAAACATTACAAAGCTCATGACATATCATCTTTCATACATTTGACTCAAGTGGGTTATGAACTCCCATTTTTACCCCAAATACAAATTGCAGAATCACATCGGTTACACATTCACATTTTTACAAAATGGCATATTAGTGACTGTTGTATTCTGCTGCCTTTCCTATCCCCTACTATCCCCCCTTCCCTCCCCTCCCTACTCCAGTAAGATTGGCAGCCATTATGAAGTCAAACAACAATAAGTGCTGGCAAGGATGTGGGGAAAAGGGTACACTTGTACATTGCTGGTGGCACTGCAAATTGGTGAGGCCAATTTGGAAAGCAGTATGGAGATTCCTGGGAAAGCTGGGAATGGATCCACCATTTGACCCAGCTATCGCCCTTCTCGGACTATTCCCTGAGGATCTTAAAAGAGCGTACTATAGGGATACTGCCACATCAATGATCATAGCAGCACAATTCACAATAGCTAGACTGTGGAACCAACCTAGATGCCCTTCAATAGATGAATGGATAAAAAAATGTGGCATTTATACACAATGGAGTATTATGCAGCACTAAAAAATGACAAAATCATGGAATTTGCAGGAAAATGGATGGCATTAGTGCAGATTATGCTAAGCGAAGCTAGCCAATCCTTAAAAAACAAATGCCAAATGTCTTCCTTGATATAAGATTGCCTTTATTTAACCTGAATCAGAGTTTTCCCAAGTGCAAAGTATGTTCACTGAAGATGACTATTGAAAATGGTTACAGGCAAGTGTTTAGCTTTACAGTGCTTAAGAAGTGTTTTACACTTGATAGAAATAATAGACTGCCCAAAAAGCTTAAAAGGAAAAACTGTGAAATGAATTGCCAATAGGGGTTTCAATGTTCTAATATATTCCTGGGAATCATTAAGTCCATGTACGTATAGGACTGTGCACATGCTCAGGAATGACCTGAGAAGACTCTAACCTCTTATACCTAGCTGCCATAAAGATCTATAGAATCAGGAAGTGAAGGCTAAGGCAGAGTTTGTGAACTGCCTACCTTAGTGTTGAAGATGTGCTCACAAATATACTTAGAGTCTCTTACCAAAGACTGGAAAACTTGTTGTAATTAGATGACCACTGAGCTAAACAAGCAGATTTCAACTATCACACATAACAAATAATACAGACTTTAGAGAATTAGTTCAGATGTTACTAAACAGAGAAGAACAACTATAACACATAGTAACATCAACAGGCCTTGGATAGAGGGTAAAATCTGATTTGTAGAGTTGCTACATTATTGTTTTTAAAATGTCCAATATTAAAAAATTTTAAGACATGCAAAAAAAAAAGTATGACTATACACAGTAAACAACCACATCAACAAAAATAGAACAAAACAAAATACAAAAACCCCAATCAATAGAAACTTCCTTGAGGAAATGCAGGTTTAGGACTTACTAGGAAAAAAAAACCTTTTAATCAGGTGTTTTAAATATATTAATTGAACTAAAGAAAGTCACACCCTAAGAACTAAAGAAAAATATAATAATCATGTCTCACTAGATACAGAATATTAATAAAGAAGTAGAAATTATTAAAAGGTACAAAACAGAAATTCTAAGTTCAAAAATACCAACTGAAATGAAAAATTCACTTGAAGTTCTCAAGACCAGATTTGAGCAGACATCAGAAAGAATTAGCAAACCTAAAAATAAATCAGTGAAGATTATGTAGTGTGAAGAACAGAAAGAAAAGTGAATAGTCTCAGAGACATGTACATGATGAGAGTACCAAATGATGGCAGAGAAAAAGGGTAGCAAGACTGTATGAGGAAATAATGGCTAAAAAAATTCTTCCCCTGTAAAACCAGTAGCTAAGGAGGCTGAGGCAGGAGACAAGTTTGAGGCCAGCCTCAGTAATTTAGCAAAGCCTTAAGCAATTTAGCAATTATAACAAAAACAATTGAATTAAAGAATAGAAATCAAAAGAGAGTCAATGAAAACAAAAGTTGTTTCTTGGAAAAGATATTAACCAAGAAAAAATGGAGAAGGCTTAAATTAATAAAACCAGGAATTTTGTTCCTCATTTGAGGAAACACTACTACTGACATTAGAGAAATAAAAAGGTTATAAGGGAATACTATGAACAATTATACACTAACAACATAAGTAACCTAGTGAAGTGGATAAATTCCTGGAAAGACAAAAACTAACAAAATGAATTCAAGAATGAATAGAGAATCTGAACAAACTCATAATAAAGAATAAAATTTAATTAGCAATCCAAAATCTTCCCAAAAAGAAAATCCTGGAACAAAATGCTTCCCTGGAGAATTCTACCAAATATTAAAGAATAAACACATTTTTTTACAAACTCTTAGAGAAATAGAGGAATAAAAAATGCTTCTCAAAACTCATTTTATGAGCCCAGAAAAACACCACACAAGAAACAGAAACTATAGACCAAAATCCATTATGAATAAAGACACAAAAGTCGTCAAGAAAATGCTAGCAAATTAATTCAGTAACATATAAAAAGGAATGTACATCATGACCAAGTGTGAGTTATACCAGGAATGCAAGGTTGGTTCAATATTAAAAATCAATCAATGTAACAGTATATTAGTAGAAAAAGGTTAAAGCCCACATGATAATCACAATACACACACAAAACACATTTGACAAAATCTAACACCCTTCATAATAAAAACACTCAATAATCTAGTAATAGAAGGGAAATTTCTCAAAAATGACAAAATATATCTACAAAACCCCACAGCTATCAGCATACTTAAGGAAGAAAGATGAAATGTTTTCTCATTTATGTCAATAACACAAAAAGGATGTCCACTATTGCCATTTGCATTTAATATGGAAGGGCAGTTAGGCAAGAAAAGGAATTAAAAGGCATTCAGATTAGAAAGGAAGAAGTACCATCTCTATTTGCAAATGACATGATCTTGTATAGAGAAAATTCCAAGAAATCAATAAAACTGTTATAGTTAATAAACAAGTTCATCAAGGTTACAGAATGCAAGATAACTATGCAAAAAATACTTATTTCCATTTGCCAATAATGAACAATCAAAAAATTAAATGAAGAAAATAATTTAATAATAGCAACAAACAGAATATAATAGTTAGAAATATATTTTTTAAAATGAATCAAGACTTGAACACTGTAAGATATCATTGAAAAAAATTAAATAAGACCTAAAAACTTGAATCCACATTCATGGATTTGAACAATGTTGGAAACACAATACTCCCCATTTGATCCATAGATTCAATGCAATCTCTATTAAAATTCTAGCTGCCATTTTTTGGCATAAATTTAGAAACTGATCCTAAAATTCACATGGAAATGCAGGAGACCCAGGATAGCCAAAACAATCACAAAAAAAGAACAAAATCAAGGTATCACAATTCCTGACTTCCAAATTTACCAGCAATCAAGACTGTATAATAATGGCATAAGGATAGACAAAGCTCAAGGCCTAGAATTGAGAGTCCAGAATATACTTATGGACTTAAACTTTATGCACATGTAAAAAGAAAAAAAGAAAAAGAAAACAGTTGAACTCTGTCTCATACCATATATAAATATTAAAATGGATTAAACACCTAAATGGAAGAGTAAAAATCTATAACATTCTTAGAACAAAAAACAGGTATAATTCTTCATGACCTTGGATTAGACAATAGTTTCTTATATATGACACTTCAGATACAAGCAACAAAAGAAAAGAATAGGTCAATTTTGACTTAAAATTAAAAATTTTCTGCTTCAAAGGCAATGAGCACTGAAAAGATACTCAAACATCATTAGTCACTAGGGAAATACAAACCCAAACCACCATGAGATACCACTTCATAGCTTCTAGAACAGCCATAATTAAAACCCAGACAAAAGCAAATATGAGAGAGGATGTGGGGAATTGTAACCCTCCTACATTACTAATGAGGATGAAATCGTGTTGCTACTGTGGGAAACAGTTGGCGATTTCAAAAAGTTAAATATAGAGTTACCATTTGACTCATCAATTCCATTCTTAAGTGTATACTCAAGAAACTTATAAAAATGTTTATATAAAAATATGTACACAAATGTTCTAAGCAGCATCTTTCATAACAATCAAAAAAGTAGAAAAATCCCAAATATTCAACTAATGAATGAATAAACAAAATGTGGTATATCCATATAATGGAATATTACTCAGTTCTAAAAAGAATGAACTATTAATACGTGCTATAATTTGAATGAATCTTGAAAATGTTATTCTAAGTGAAATGTCAGCCAATAAATACCACATTTCTGTAATTCTATGCACATAAAATAAATTTGTTATGGTAGGAATAGAAAATTAATATGACTACTTAAGCCAGAGTGCTCACTATGGGACTACAATTGAGGAAAATTAATTTTGTAGTGGTACACACTCTATTCAGATAATTTCAAATTTGCACTTACATTTGATACAAATCAAGATTAAAATATGGCACGCTTCCCATCACAAGAACATAGCAGCAGCCATTGGTGTGGCTGCCGGCAGCCAAGGCTCCCAGAATTTAGCTCTGACCTATAGCCTGAGAATGGCTCTGGCTAACATAAATAAGTTTAGTTTCCCACTTTGTCTATACTACGTATCAATCATTTAACCAACACATTTTTCAATGTCTTCTAGTAAGGCCTAGCATATTCTGTCAGATCCTAGGGAGATTCAAAATTAATAAGGCACCTGGCTTCAAGGAAACTATAATAGTGGTAGAGATGGATATAGATTTCCCATCACATGACAAAGGCCAACCATTACAATTTCAGCAGATATTTCCTTTGAGACCCTATAATAGCAATGTCAGTAAAACTATGTATGCCTGAAAATTATACTTTCTGATTGAGCCTTAGCCTTAAATGTGTGAATTACGGACAATTCCTTAATTCCCATTGAGAAACATCTGGAAGGAGGAAGAAAGATATGGGGAAGTAAAGGTGGTGGGGGTTGGGGGTACAACTTAAACAGGCACTTTCACAAGGGCAATCAGAATGTAACCCTGACTTTGATTCTTATAGGTTGTAGAACTTGGAGCAATTCATGAATCCATGGTTCAGTTTCTTCATCTGTAAAATGGGAATAAATAAGCCATTATGGAAAACAGTGCCGCAGTCCAGCTGCAGCAAACTAGCCGGGGGGTGACGAACAACTTGTGTACATTGATACAGCAGGAGTGGGAGCCGTTTATTGCAGGACAGGAGCGGTATTTATACATTCCACACAGCTTATCTAATTAGCATAAACTAGATACATCAGTCAACCAATAAGAAATCTCCACACTTAATGGCTCGCTGGCATTACTTCACAAACCACTCCCTCTGGCATTTTGCCAGGCGCCATCCAGATTTGTTTACAGACTCTAACAAAACAGTATGAAATTTTCTCAGAAAACTAAAAATAGAACTACCCTTGCCATCCACAATCTCCCTATGGATGTATACACAAAGGAAGTGAAATCAAAATATCAAGGGATATCTAAAAAACACATCACAAGAAACAGAAACTACAGACCAAAATTCATTATGAGTATAGACACAAAAGTCCTCAGGAAAACATGAGAAAATTAATTCAGTAACATATAGAACTTTCATATCTGCTGCGGCTTTATTCATTGGATGACTGGTTAAAGAAAATGTGTCATGCGAACCCATGGAATACTATACAGCTGTTAAAGGGGAAAAATCCTGATGTGTAAAACAACATGGATGAATCTGGAAGACATGATGCTGAGTGAAGTAATCCAGGCACCGAAAGAAAAAGATCACATGATCGCACTTCCATGTGGACGCTAATAGAATGATAGTTGCCTGAGGTTGGAGCAGTGAAGGGGTTATTGATCCAAGATCCCAAGTTTCGAATAGGCAGAAGGAATAAGTTTTGAGGTTTAATGTACAATGAGGTCAATCTATAGTCCATAATAATATGTTCCATATCTCAAAATAACTAAGTAAATTTCAAATGTTTCACCATAAAAAAAATCACAAGTAAGCAAGGTGATGGATATATCAATTAGCGCTTGATTTAATCATTTTGTACTGTGTATGTATATCAAAACATCACATTGTACCTCATATAATTATGACTCATCAATTAATATTAATTTTAATGAATAGTACCTACTAATACTACCTAATTTGTGTGATTACTGTGGAGATTAAAAAAATAAACAGGAAGTGTTTAGCAGAGTGCCTATATAATCTCATAAGTATTATAATCTCATAAGTATTCAAACCCTTTAGATCCCTCCTTTCCCAATTCCGGAAGCATTCTGATGAGCTAAAATTTTTCATGAAGCCTCTTACATGAAGCAAAAAAAAACTTCAGGCCTTTTAGAAATTTTTAATGTAGAGGGTTTTGTGTTTTTTCTGTAGAAGTCTGGAATGGATTTAAAACTGAAACTCTAAATATTTTGCTGTTTCTAGAATCGTAAGCATTTAATCTTATCAATATTGCCAATTAAGCCAAACACCAATGAAGCCATCAAATCTGCCCTGCTGCTCATCTTTCACTCTCTTGTTTATTTAATGTATACTTTTAGAATAATGATGTTGACTTCAAAACCGTGATTCTGAATGGACCAAGGCTAACAGATACTGATAAAATAATGCAAACATCATTAGTATTGGGCCTGAAGCTTCCTTCCTACACAATGCTGGGAGGTTAATACTTTCTGTGCTTCTAGCCAGTATGAATATTTATTGGCATATAAAGTCAGGTTGAATAACATGGAATGAAAATAACATAACACAGACTTTCCCCATGACCCACCCCTTCTCTTTTTATATATATATATTTATTCCAGAGACTCCCATTGAGGAAAAAATTTAACATAAAGGGAGCCTTTGAAATATGAGTTAGTTGACAGAGTGTACTCTAATTCTAAATAGATTATTACATTTTAAGAACAATCCTGGTTAAGCACATTTTGATCATCTCATTTATAACATTTTCCCTTGGTTTTTGTCTTATTAACCCTAGTACTTGTATACGTAGCTCTTTTACAACAACTTCAGGTTTTATTTTACCATTCAGGAGACAAATTTGACCACCTTTCATGTTCTTCAAATTAAAATTTCTTGATTCCTCATTCATCAGAATAACAAGAATCCAGGATCTTTTTAAGGTTATCTTTCTCCATTATCTAAGTGTCCGTGTATTCCCTCATTCTAGAGAGGCCCGGGTGTGCTTGAGAGCAAATTAGAGAACCCGGCCACAAGATGTCCTGGTTTGCAAATGACTTGTTGCTGGCCCTCGATGCTCTGAGGCATTTTTGGCTGTACAGTGGTCCTCTTTCTGGTTCAGCTTTGTGCGCAGACCTTATCTGTGCTTATGAATACAATGAAAGTTGGTTCAAATATAATGAATATTGATATTGGCATTGCTCTTAGAGTCTCAGGGTGACAGCTGTTATTCTGAAAGCAGGTCCACATTGTTCCAGAGCCAACACTTCTCTAAGTCAATCTAGGTATTGCTGCTGAGCCAGCCTCACTATTTTCCCTAGTGAGGAATTCCCTTTTGGATGATCTTTACTTTTCTTTATTTCGAGTCCAGCAAAGGCATCTAAAGATGTTAAACCTCCAAAGGGTCTTGTGGGAGTAGTGGGGTTGGCAGCCACTGGTTCTTCCCAGAAGGATTCTTCATGTCTATGAAAATTTCCTCATTTTCCCACATTAATCAGACCTACACACTAAGTTGTTATTTGGAGGGCTGCTCTTGTCAATTCACAGAAAGGGCCCATTACTCTTTGCCCAGGGCAACCAAGTCCCAGTTGCCTGATACACATAATTGAGAGAGGTCTTTTCAGGGACCCTTCCTGAATGAGTCATGTCACAAAGCCACCACCCACACCCACCAAGACAGCTATGCTGCAGCAGACTTCAGGAGCTCTCTCCTCATGAAAGAAAGGGAAAACACGAAAGGTTCCAACTAGTCGCCACACTATGCAAGGGATTCACAGCCAATATTCAGTGGAGACAAATTTTGGAGTTAACCTGATATCCATTAGATTTAATACTGGTTCTGCCATTTCCGAGTTATATGTGCTCAAGCAAGTAACTTAATTACTCTGAGTGCATCTAACAACTCAGAAAGTATGTAGGGCTTTGAATAATAAAGAACTTACCAACAATAGCTTAAACAAATGAGGGTTTTGTTTTCTTCCATAAGGAGAAGTCAGAAGTCAACAGTCGCGACACTCAGATCCACAGGTCAACGTGGCCCCGCAGTTCTCTTGGCATTGCTCTTAGAGTCTCAGGGTGACAGTTACAGATCCAGCAGGCACATGGCCTTTCAGGCAGCTGAAAGAAGGAAAGATGGGAAGAAGGAAGTATCCAGGCTTGTTTGGGGAAAGCTGGAGCATCCCAGAAATCCTCAGACAACCTTGGTTTACATCCCAAGGGTCAGACTATGCCATGTGTCCACTCTTGCCTTCCAGAGAGCCTGAGATTCTAAAGCTTCTAGAAAATCTAGATTCTAAAGTATATGGAGACACTGAAAAAAGAATGTGGAAATCGGTGTTGAATAAATCGTCCTACAGTATGCGACATATAGATGAGGACCTGAATAATAGTCACAAAGATGAAGAAAAGTGGGTGTAATGGAATCTATCATGCTCTTCTGAGCAATGGAGAGGGGGCAGTGGTGGGGAGCGCACAGGTCAGGAACCACGTCTTTTCTTTTTAGCAGCCTCCCAAAGGGCCTAATAAACTTCTCAAGACAAAATAGACCAACTGTTGAGAAACATTGGTCCCCAAATGATGTTCAGAGTTGTGATTCTGTGAAAGTATAGTATGATCCCAGACTCCTCTTTAGGGAGCCATGACTTGCAGAATGAAAGGAACTACCTATCAGTCTTTGCTTTTAGCCAAAGTTTTTTGCCAAAATGTTTTATTAGAGACTTTTTCCTGTTTTAGTTTCATGCTTTTTTTTTTTTTTTTTGCTAGTGACTGAGTCAAACAAAAATTCCATCACTTCATATTAAAAGGCACTTTCATGACATAAACAGGGTCTCGATATAGGACACGCTAACCTCTGAAATCCTATCAGAGGCATTGGTGAGTGAGCTTGATTTCCATGAGAGCTATTCAGTCAGTCCTTCACAACCCTTTTTACGTGGGGATCCTATTATTTAACAGGCACTTTAAATTGAGACCAGCATCCTGATTCTCAAGCAGCATGGCTTTTATTGGAAGTCTCTGCCACGTTTAAACATCTTTAATACATTTTAAAAATAGAATTGTAAAAGGCAGCAACCAGACTTCAAAGCATAGACATGTTGGCCAGAATTGTGAAGCTGGCGACAATTTTCACTGGTTGTAAACCTTGTGGAGCCTCTTTCAATCCCCCAAACAATTGCTGAGGAAGGGGTTAGGCACACATTCCTCTTGAGTGTCCCCTGGACGGGTCTGAAGTGTCCAGGTGGTGGAGGAGTGAGAACCAGCACACTGCAGGGCAGACATAGAAAGCACCACCAACCAGAGCCACAGGGCCATGAGCAGAGCCAAAAGAAACCAGGCCAAACCAAAAACAAATGAGGACTTGGAAAAGGGTTGGCCACCCTCTCTGAGTTTTGGTCCATTGCATCTCTCCTCTCTTGCCCAGGTCTTCCTTCCCCTGGGGAGACTTCAGATGTCCTCTATTCCCAGTAAACCTGGTTGTCCGCTCACTCTCTCTTTTTTTATTCTTTTTGCCCTCACTGAACTCTGTACAGGCACTTATTATACTTGAGCAAAAATAATTTTTACACTACGGATTCTGTCTCCCACTCCAAGCTGTAGCCTATGAACACCTTGGAAGAAAGAGCTTCATCTTATTCATCTCATGCACACAGCAAATTAAATGAGTTATTTAAACAAAGTTGAGTCTCTTGGGAGAAGCTAAGCAGCAGGAGCTGGTTCAAAGGAATTATGAAGAAGGATTTTTTTGGTTTCCTTACTCTGAGGCAGTGGTTCACAAATTGTGATCCCTAAACCAATAGCATTAGCATCGCTGGGGAAATCGTAGGAAATGCACATTCTTGGGCCTGGCCACAGGCCTGCAGGGTAAGTGGGCAAGCTTGAGAACCAGGAGAGCAGATGGTGTTGCTCCAGTACAAAAAGCCTGGCAGACTGGGGACCCAGGAAGAGTTGACATTTCAGCTAAGTTGGAATACATGATATCCCAGTTGGAAGGCAGTCAGGCTGGAAGGAATTTGGGCAATCTGTGTTTTCACAAGCCTTCCAGGTGGTTCTGATGCACACTAAGTTTCAAGAATCATAATTTAACCTTTCCAAACCACAGTTTCCTCATCTGAAAAATAAAGCTAATCATAGCAACCTCGAAGAGCTGATCCAGATATGTAATTAGATAAAATATGTATCTTTTAATCCAGAGCCTCATACACATTAATCACTCAGTGACATTATTGAAGGGTGAACATATTCTGGTTTGCTTTGCTTTGCTGGATTAGTGACTTTGCAAAAGCATTTCCATTATTGGCCTCATCCTGTGTGCATTTGGGTTATTCATACAACAGATTTGGTTCATCTGAGTTCCCAAGTTCTCCCAGCTAAGCCCTATCCTTTTCAGAATCCTTGTAATTAAGCCAGAGCCAAGCATGAATCCTGGGATCTTGCTGACTCCATTGGCCTTGGCCTTGGTCTTGGCCTTCACACCATAGGGCCCATGGCTTTCACTCTTTATGTTGTAGAGGAAACAATCATGTGGACCAGAGCTAGCCTAGCTGGGGAAGGAAAGGGCCTCAAAGAATTGTTGCTCAAAAGAAAGCTAAAGTGGAGAAGGTCCCTCTGCTTCCTCTATCAGGACATAGAAGAAATCATATGGCTTTGGAGCCCCAGCATTCAAACGGCCAATTAAATCATTTAAAGTTTTCCAATTGATTTCCTCTTAACTGAGTCACCATATTTTAAAATTTGTCAACAAACCACATCCCTCCTTCAGGGCAACAGGCAGCCCCCCTACTGCTTTACTTAATTCTTCCAGACGGCTAGCATAGCCACCTCCCCACTCCAGCAAAATCTGGTTTAACTACTCTGTGTTTGCTGCACCAGGCAAGCCTCTAGTCCAAGACAGAAAAATTCCATTTCCAAGTGGCACTTTCAAACAGACTTCACACACACACACACACACACACACACACACAGAGAGAGAGAGAGAGAGAGAGAGAGAGAGAGAGAGAGAGAAGCCAGAGCACATTTTCCCCTTTGACTTTAAGCAATAGCAAGTGCAGAATTACAATTTTCCAGGGCTTTTTGCTCAACACAGGGCACACTAGGCAAAGCTTACCAAAGATCCAAAGTACTTCTTTCTGCCCCCAAAGCTGCTACCAACTAACACTCCAGGTGGGTTCTGCTCAGTCACCACAGGGGTGGTTGAAAGCAACCAAGCTCTGGCATTTCAAGCCAATGAAAACCCTGTCCTTTCACTCTCAAATAAATAACGCTTTGAAAATTATTGCTATTACTGTTCTTTTAATAAGTCCGCATTGCCTCAGTGCCCCCCCTCCCACCGATTCCCATTTGTTTTCCTGTGGGAGCCAGGTCTTTGAAGCTGGTGTCTCCCCTGAGCAGAGTGAAGATGTAGCACCCTTCTCTGCCTGGCTGACCCTCCCTGGAGGGGCCCAGTGGGGGTGAGTCACCCCTGGTGGGACTTTTCTCATTAGCCCTGCAGGCAGCATGCATTCCAGCCTGCCTGGCCTTGGACTCTAAGCAGAGAACCCCAAATATTTTGTGAGGAATAATAAAGGTGGTCAGAACGTGACAGCTAGTTTATTACCACCAGCATCAGTTCTGATGCTGGCAGAAGTGGGGAAGGAGAGACCACTGCCCTCCAATGACCGGAAAGAAAGAAATAGCTTGGGAGAACGCAGTGACTGAGTCTTTGCTCTCCCTATAACTCGACCTTTGCTGGCTGAATAGCCACATAAAACGAATATTGAAAGCAAGTTTGAAATGGCACAAGGCAAACAAATGAAAGGAGGGCAATAAATGCCAGAATACCATTCTGAGAACAAAATATTCTTATTCAACTTACAACATTTACAAAGAGCCACAGCCCTGGCCTCTAAGGAGATCATAATTAAATATGGGAAATAACACAGATAACAACAAAAAACACAAACACACAATGAACAATGGGAAATATAAACAAAAGTACCATAGGAACGTAAAGAAAACTTCTACCTGGTATCCCTGTGGCGAGAATTCCTGGAGAGGTATCTGAATGGACTTTGGGAACAGAGTGTTGTACTTCAAGAAAGAAAATTTGGGAGAACCTGTTTGGTTGCCTCCCCAGAGTATCTGCCCTCCCAATTCACTTCTCCTTTCCTGGAAGAGTCAACCTCCCAGTTTAGAGGCTGCCAATGCCCCATATTCATCTTTCAGCCTTCCTCGAAAAAAGAATGTGGTCCTCTGAGCCAGGCATGGTGGTGTACACCTGTAATCCCAGCAGCTCAGGAGGCTGGGGCAGGAGAATTGCAAGTTTAAGGCCAGCCTCCACAACTTAGCAATACCATGTCTCAAAAATAAAAAGAATTGAGGATATAGTTCAGAGGGAGAGCACTCTGGGTCTGATCCTCAGTACCGCACACCCACTACCCCACCACGCACACACATACAAAATGTGATCTTCTAATTCAATGCTGGTCAATGGTATGCAGGGAGAGCTTCCCAGAAACATTCGGAAAGGGTTTCCTTCCTGATTTGGAGACAGGGCCTGGGGAGTCATGGAGCAGGGAAGAGGTGGATAAAAACTGCTTTTTCCTGGCTTGAAAACGATTAACCAAGGATGTGAAACTTGGAGTTATGGCTACCATCTTGGTGTCTGAGAGAAAGCAGGAGAATCAGAGAGAAATCAGTTTTCATTCCAGAGTTTACAAGCAGTCATGGGACTCCTGTGACCTGTACCTGAACACAACCTCAGTCTCACACAAAGATTAGGGAAACACAGCTGGGCAGGGTGGCACATGCCAGTAATTCCAGTGGCTCCAGAAGCTGAGGGAGGAAGATCACAAGTTCAAAGTCAACCTCAGAAATTTAGCAAGGGCCTAAGCCGCTTAGCAAGACCCTGTCTCTAAAAATTAAATTTAAAGGGCTGGGGATATGGCTCAGTGATAAAGCATCTCTGGGTTAAATCCCTGGTACCAATAAAGAAAAAAAAATAAGGATTTCCATTCAGACAGGAGAAACAGAATAAGCAGACATTCACTAAGACCAAGTAGGTGTGCTTATTTTAGTAGAAGTTTATAGTGTACAGAGAATTCTACCATGAAGTAATCTGGGAAGTTGGGACCAAGTTCCAG